GGCTGACTTGGGGCTCAACACTGGCTGCTCCGGGGTTTTCTTGTCTTTCTCCTGATCCTGGGCGGACGGCTTGGGTGCTTCCACGCCTTCCACCGGCTCCTCCAGAACCTTGCCCCGACCCTTTCCCGACCCACCACTTCGGGTCGAGATCTCCCCTCTCCCCGTCCCGAGCACGGGGGCAGCTTGGCACGGCGACCTTTCCTCCAGCTCCTCCGCCGGCACAGTGGATGCTGTGCTGACGCGCCGCAGGACCTGCGAACATCTATATAGCAATCTGCATACAGGAACCTCGCAGTTCCATTACATCCATGCATGCGCATGCATGCATAGCTATTTATATTTGTATATACATCCATGTACATGTAGACACACACACACACGTATATATATATATGTGTATATATACATATACATACACACACACACACATATATATATATATATTTACACACATCTATATCCGGGTAGGCATGTTATACACAAACAGACAATTGATAAGGTTCTTCACAGACAGACACGTGCATCCATGCCTGTTTGCCTGAGACTTGTAAGTGGTCTTGATCCCCAGATAATAGGAATTTATTGGCCAGCTTTTCTTTTGCATGCTATTAAAGCCGTGTAGTACATATTTCTATACATTTCTATATATATATGTACATGTGTATAAACAGACATGTATATACACACATACATACATAGATACGTACCTACATTTACATGTGTATATTTATATACAGAAGCTAAGCCAAAGTACTGTTACAAATGCATGTGTGTAGATGAAAGACAAAGACAGTGCTTGTTTATGTATGTGCATCTATGAATACAGACACTAGAGAGATACACATGTTTATTTGTATACATATTTCTAGAAAAAAACAAATGCACAGCTACCTGCTTACATGCGTGCATTTACATGTATGTATGTTTATATATATATATATACACAAAGACATGTACCGAATATACCCACCTAGAGACCAGGGCCAGTAAGCTTTCAGCACAGATCCCCCAGCCCAGGCCTGATCTCGAGGGTCCGAGCGCTTGGCCGTTGGACGAGCTGGCGTTGGCACTGAAAGGATTGGGTGGGCAGGCTGATCCTTTGTCTGGGGTTTCGGTGTCTTCTGCGAGGATGGCGGGGTCGGGGGGTCACTAGCAGCAGACGAGGCTTCTGAACCCATGGAGTCCCTGGGGCTCACAGGTTGTGCTAACTCCTTCTGAGCTTGCATCTTCTTCTTCAGATCCTGAAGGAAACCAGCACACAACGATACGAACAAAAAGCCAACATGAACTCAAACCAGCAAACTTTGCCATGAAGCCGAAGATCCTCAAGCCTTCTGAGTTCAGCCAGCAAGCTGGCTTTATCGGTCTTGCTTAACGTCCTCCATGGGGCTTCCTTCAGCACTGCTTCACCATCACTGAGGGTGTCCGTGCTGTAGGTCTTCGAGGGCAACTCACGATGCATCGCTAAAGAAACGGTGCACCCACGTATAGGTGGGAACAACTACAGACCTGCTAGTCTGCAACAGAGCCAGCTCAGGAAACCAGCAGATCTGATTAGATTGCACAGCAGCAGTCTGGCCAGGTACTGTCGAACAGAACGATGTTTATTACAATCGACGATTGCACAGGCATGCACAAAGCACGACAGCTCCGCATGGTGCTGTTCATGACGAAGCCAGGAAATACGGGCGCCATTCCATATAAACCTGTAGCTTCACAGAACCTAGCAATGATAGATCTGGATAAGGAAGTATGATCAAGGCGGAAGTCACAAACAGCTAGAGAGGATGAGTACATGGTGCACAGTTGCATAGGCAGGCCCATGAATGTAGTCAGCAGCGATGGAAAGAACTCCTCTACATATAACCCGCACCAATTTTAAATAGGTATCCCTGGGAACGGAACAAACAACCCTCGCAAATTTGAGACCTTCTTATTGCAGGCCCAGCTGACAGCAGCGATCCAGATCGGTCGTCCGGCAGAGACAAGCTGCTTCCCAGGCAGACACGAATTTCTGGCTGTTCGGACGTGTAGCCCTTGTAGTCATGAAGCAGCAACTAGCATAGAAGTTCACATGTGTGGACTCCAAGACACTGATTGCTTCAGGTTCAGGTATTTGATGTGAGGCTATATATATATATGCAGATGCATTGTGTGTGTCTACATAGGTACACGTGTACCTATGTAGATATGTGTATACATACATGCATGGATACATGTACATATATATATATACACAACACACATATATATATATGTACACATCTATATACACATATAGATATATATATACACATATATATATATACATATATATACATATGTATGATAACATGCACAGATCGGGACACATGTGCTTATCTAACCCTCCATACAATTAAGTTATAGAATGATCATGCATAATCAACTTAGCACAGACATGTACATGTACATATATAAGTCTTTACATGCACATACATATAGATATATGCATTTATTTACATACACATGCATATCTACATGTATACATATATATATATATACTATGTATATAATCATGTGGTACATACATGTATATAAAGATGTATGTATGAAAACATACTTATGTCTATATACGAGTATATATATATATATATCTATTTTTCTACAAAAGGAAATAGTGTACATGTATGTATATATATACATACATATATATGTACAGTTACCTTATAGACGCACATTTGTATGTATGTATAAATATATATATAGGTAAAACTGTATATCTGTATATATATATATATATATGTATGCAGGATCCATGAAAGGACTGAAGGAAGCTTTCGATTGTCACGGACACCATGGTTGAAGATCATTGTGTGTTATACATATATGTATACAAGTCACCCGGTCGATACATTATATATATCTCACGCCAAATAAATAAATATATATATAGATATACACTATTATGTATCTATACATACATATATATGTACATATAAATACAGAGTATCTGTATATATATATATACATTTATACATAAACATATATATATGCATACATGTATATATATATATGTATATGTACACAGCTAAGTTAATATACACACAAAGACATTAACTAATGATTTATATGCATCTCTGTATATCATACATACATGTCTATATATATATGTATTATATCTCTCTATCTATCATATATATCTATAACATGTATATTCTGTATGATATATATATATATACATATCTATATACATAAAATATATATATATATATACATATATATATATATCTATATATGTCTATATACGTATGTGTGTGTATATATATATGTATATATCGGTTGTTTTCGTCCCGAGAGACGTTGCGGTCAGTGTC